GAGTGAGAGAGGAGAGAGATAGAGAATTTTTAATATTTATTTTTTAGTTTTCGGCGGACACAACATCTTTGTTGGTATGTGGTGCTGAGGATCGAACCTGGGCCGCACGCATGCCAGGCGAGCATACTACCGCTTGAGCCACATCCCCAGCCCCCCCAGCCCTATTTTGTATTTTATTTAGAGATAGGGTCTCACTGAGTTTCTTAGCAACTTGCTAAGTTGCTGAGGCTGGCTTTGAACTTGTGGTATTCCTGCCTCAGCCTTCCAAGACATTGGGATTACAGGCATGCACCACTGCGCCCAGTTCTGTTTTATTTCTAGATGGTGTCTTACTAAATTGCTTAGGGCCTCCCTGAATTGCTAAGGCTGGCTTGAATTTGAGAGCCTCCTACCTCATTTTCCTGAGTTGTTGGGATTACAGGCACACACCTCCATGCCTTTTTTAAATTTAATTTTGGCAAAATATGCACAAATGCATGTCATAAAAACTATCATTTTTCATTTATTTATTTTTGTCCTTTTATAGATTGAACTTGAGAGCACTCTACCTCTGAGCTACATCTGTAGGACTCAGTCTCCCAAGTAGCTGGGATTACAGGCCTGTACCACTGTGCCGGCTCCTTTGAATATTTTTTTTCTTTTTTTTTTGGTATTGGAGATTGAACCCAGTGGTATTTAACCACTAAGCCACATCCCCATCCCTTTTTATTAGGTATTTTGAGACAGGATCTCCCTAACATGCTTAAGATTTTGCTAAGTTATTGAAGCTTGCTTTGAAATCGTGATCCTCCTATTCAGTCTCCCAAGCCGCTGGGAGTACAGGCATGTGCCACCATGCCCAACTTCAATAATTTAAAAAAGTATATTTTTAGTTATAGATGGATGTGAAACCTTTTATCTATCTATCTATCTATCCATTTATTTATTTAGTTAGTTAGTTAGTTTTAGGTGGCCATAATATCTTTATTTTATTTTTATGTGGTGCTGAGGATTGAACCCAGTGCCTCACGTGTGCTAGGTGAGTACTCTACCACTTGAGCCACAACCCCAGCCCTTTTATTTTTTTATGTGGTACTGAGGGATCAAACCCAGTGCCCCATGCATGCTAGGCAAGTGCTCTACCACTGAGCTACAACCTCAGCTCTCAGTAGTTTATATATATTTAGTTGTAGTTGGACACAATACCTTTATTTTATTTATGTGGTGCTGAGGATCGAACCCAGGGCCCCACACATGCAAGATGAACACTCTACCACTGAGCCCCAGCCCCTCAA